TCTCCAGAGCCCCAGGTAGTGGGTCAGTGTGCGGCTGCTGGCGTCTCCAGAGCCCCAGGTAGTGGGTCAGTGTGCGGCTGCTGGCGTCTCAGGGCTCCACCAGCTGGAGGAGGCACTTCTATCTCTGGGCCTCTGACAGCTTTCATGGCCACGGAGTAGGGCAATGGGTAGATGGACTGGGCTGCTTTTCAGTGGGGACTGGTCGTAAGATGGCATGAGACCAGCCATGCCTGGATCTGGCCTGAATCACAGTGTGCTCTGCCCAGCTGTGTATGAACTGGCCAAGCTGGGAACTGGTTTGTTTCAGTCTAATTGCAACCTGTTCTCATTCCAGTATTTTAATTATGGCATTAAAGAAATGTGAACATAAAAAGGTACGTGCTTTATAAATGTGATTCTGATGTTCCCTTTTGATACTAATTCACATTAATTGCCTCAGACGATACTGATACCCAAACAGAAATCTGGCAGAAGAATCCCGACTGGCATTCCTGATAACGTGCCTGTGTGGAGGCGGCAGTAATGGGGTCAGGTTCTCTGAACAGCCTATGAAGGATCCGGGGAGGTGGGTGTGAGGCGCTTCTTAAACCAGAGTGAGGCCAGCTCTGGGAGGGTGTGGATAACTCAGGACACAAGAGATAAGGGTAGGGACCTGAGGCACCAGAAAAATCAGATGAGGCGTGGCCACGAGATATGGGTAGCAGAATAAAAAGGAGCAAGACAAAGTCAGGTGAAATGGCAGTTGGGAACAGAAGAGAGAAGGGAGAGGCTCAGGAGAGCTAAGATGATGTGGATGAAGGTCTAGAGGGCCCAGGGGCTGATGAGAGGAGTGGGGCAGGACATAGGTGTGCTCTGGATAAAGATGGGGTAGAAAAGAAGAACAGGGTGCCTGGGGAAGGGAGGTGGGCATTGGTGGGGTAGGGGGCAGGGTGCAGCAGGGAAGTGCCTAGAAAACCTCCTAGGTGAGCTCTCAGCCACTGTCACAGCCAAGATGAGCTCAGAGGAGAGGAGCCAAAATAAGACTTTAGGGGGAGCTACTGGGCCCCCAGACACCTGGGTAGCTCTGAAGACAGGTGGTCTCAGAGGGACCCTTGATGGGATCTCTCGTCTTGGATGGCTTGGCCTCCCCAGGGGCCGAGGGGAGTGTGCAGGTACCTGCATGATGCGGACGTAGTCTGTGCGGTGCAGCTCGCCCTCCTTGACCACCTTCTTCTTGAGAGTGGCCAGGTTCCTCTCCAGATGCTCCCGCTGCCGGGCGTACTCCTGCTGCAGGTCTGTGTTCAGCCCTGCGATCTCCACCTGACGGGGCCCAGGAGGTTCTCAGTGAGGGAGACGAGACCCCGGAGGGCAGGGCTGGCAGGAGGGGAGGCTGAACTTACCATGTCTGCTCGCTGCACGTACTTCTCAAAGAGACCTCGAATCTTCTCCTTCAGCAGCCGCGGCTCCTGAATGTAGGCCACGCAGTTGTGGAGGTCTGTTTTGAACCTTTTGACGAGCGCTTCCAAGTCTCGCTCCTGCAATCAGAGACATTTCCTTCTGGCACTGTAGGGTGCTCTGCAGGTGGAGGGGCGGGGGCTGCAGGCAGAGGTTCATGGCACAGCAAGGGAAAAGAGACGCCTCATCTGGGACTCACAGCTGACCACCAGGGGCCACACTGGGCACACAGACTTACATGGGCACAGAGCCAACAGGTGGAGGCACAAAAAGTCTTGTGCACCTGCCCTCGGCTGGGCACCTGGCCTGAACAGCCTATATGGGGCTTCATCCTTAAGAGGCCACACAGATGGGCTTCTTTATTGGCTCTGATTTCCTTCAGGACCACAGGCCTTAAAAGATGAAAGGAAGCTCATGTGGTTACCCATATCCCTTTAGAGCCAACACAGATGGCATCATTTCTCTCTTGCAGATTCCTGGCCGGGGCTTCCACGTCCCCCGTATTAGCTCATCCAGTGCTTACCCTTCCCGATAGTCAGGAGCGCCGATGTAAGGGGTCAGGTTGGTTTATCTACACACTTGGGCTAGCGTCCCCTCTTCATCGTGCTTTTCCCTGTCTTCCCCAGCCCTGACCTGGAGAAAGTCTCTCCTTTCTCTTGCTGCCATCCATGGCCCTTTCTACATGTTCCACCGTTTTCCACCTCTCAATGTAACTATTATGCACATGCCACAAATTCCTGATCATCATCTTCAGCTTGGAAAGAGCAGGATCTGTATCAGTTCACATTTATGGCTCTGCAGCTGCTAGTGTTACCTAGTGCAGAGTTAATTAATGCTTACTGCAGAGAATGGAAAGTTCCAATCTTTTTTTTTTTTTTTTTTAGATGGAGTCTCGCTCTGTTACCCAGGCTGGAGTGTAGTAGTGCAATCTTGGCTCACTGCAAGCTCTGCCTCCCAGGTTCAAGCAATTCTCCCGCCTCAGTCTCCCAGTTAGCTAGGACTACAGGCACGTGCCACCATGCCTGGCTAATTTTTGTATTTTTAGTAGAGACGGGGTTTCACTATGTTGGCCAGGCTGGTCTTGAACTCTTGATCTCGTGATCCGCCTACCTCGGCCTCCCAAAGTGCTAGGATTATAGGCATGAACCACTGTGCCCGGACGGAAAGTTCCAATCTTATTCAACAAATGTTAAGGAGTGGCCTGTGCTAGGGAAGAGGGCACAACCGTGTCCAGGCCCATGTCCAGAAAACCTAGATTCCATTACTAGCTCTGTGTGTACTACCTAGCTGTGGGTGCTGGGTGAAGTTTCTTAATCTCCCAATTTTGGGGGCCTAATTTTTCTTATTTGTAACACAGAGAAATGGGAATCGATGATCTTTGAAGTTCCCCTGGCCTCTGCAATTTTTTGGTTGTCAAAGCCTTAAACCAGTGGCAACAAAATTGCCTCTCTGAGCATGTACTTTCCTCCGCCAAAGAAGCCAAATGCTACAAATATTCCTGCCACGCTGACTTGCCACCTCCTTGATCACTTACCCAAAGTGATTTTATAGTCTCAGATGAGTTCAGTGATGTAAATCTACATGGGCCTGAAAGCAGGCAGGGCTGGGAGCAAGTAAAGAATGTGAGTTAAAATGGGAAACATGTCCTCGCAGTGGGCTGGCTCTGTCTCTTGGAAGCCAGCTGCCCATTGCAGATAGGTGCCAGATCCCGAATCCAAGAACTGCCAGACTCTGAAACCCTCACACCTTCTGTCTCTCTCTGCGCATCTCCTGATCGGTGGCTCTCAGTTTCTGCCACAATTCTGTGATGTTCAGCTCCAGTTGAGTGTTCTGCTTATGGAAATTCTCCAGTTCGGCTTCCATCTGTAGAGGACAAGGGAAACGAGTCAAGAAGAAGAAAGTGAGATAATGAAAACTGTATTTGAGAACCGTAGTCTTTCAGTGGGGACGCCGCCCCTGATACCCGGGCATTTCTTTTCTCATCTCCTTTTGTGTCCTCTGGATCAAAACCTTTCTCTACTTGCTTTCCTAACAGCTCCCTACCCCTGGACTGATATGCTAAACCAGCATCACGTGTTTCCACGGCCAGGCTGGGACGTTTTCCCTCTGAGTCACTTTCCCTTTCCTTCAACCATGCTGATTGTTTTATTTTCTTGAACTCTTTATAAAGTGGTGCCACCCAAATACTAGAACCTCAACTCTAACCTGAGGCAGGGCACCCCAGAGAGGCGCCTTCCTCGCCTGCTTTGTGAAGTTGTATGAGCGAATCTCGACCCTCTGGGGCCACGGGTCATTTAAAGCAGAAAGTTTGCAGGGACCAACACGTGGGCACCACCCATCTAAGGCATAAAACAGGAAAGGGGAAGCTGAGAAGGAGCCTCAGCCTCATCATTCTGTTGAAAGGTCTTAAAAAGTACAACTGAGAAGTGTCCTGTCTTCACAGGAAAAATAATAAACCACCAGTGAGCTTCTGAAATACATATTTTTTAGATGGAGTCTTGCTCTGTTGCCCAGGCTGGAGTGCAGTCGTGTGATCTCTATCTTGGCTCACTGCAACCTCCGCTTCCGGGTTCAAGCAATTCTCTAGCCTCAGCCTCCCAAGTAGCTGGGATTACAGGTAACTGCCACCATGACCAGCTTTTTTTTTTTTTTTTGTATTTTTAGGAGAGACAGGGTTTTACTATGTTGCCCAGGCTGGTCTTGAACTCCTGACCTCAAGTGATCTGCCCACCTCGGCTTCTCAAAGTGCTGGGATTACAGGCATGAGCCACTGTGCCTGGGCTGAAAGATTTTTTAAAAATTCACTGTTGCATTTATATTAACAAAAGTCATGGGAATGACAACTGGAGTGTCCAATTAGAATGAGACTAGCCGTGCGTGAGCTTTCATTGACCTAATTCCTAATGACTTATGGACTAAATCTGGTGGACACTAGTATTTCTGTTAAAAGAGAGGTTTGCTGACTGTTTTGGGAGAATGGGATAGTTCACTGGGTTTTTTCACAGCTGGGTAGAGTAGTCCCTCCCCCTCTAGTCTATCCCCGGCCTTTGATCAAATTTCAAGGCTCTTGGCAACCTTCTGGGGGGTACCAGGAGGCCCTAATGAACCACATCCATGTTCTAGACACAAAGGGGCAGCTTTTAGAAGAACGTTTTCCTCATTATTAGAAGCATTTTGTATAGACAGAATAGCCCTGTGACCCAAAGCCTGGCATAAAGGTGGCATGCAGATATTTGACGAATGAACGAATAATGGCAAGTGTAGTGGGCAAAGGAGAGCAATAGTGAGGGACACGAGAAGAGCCTGAAACAACCTGCTTCTGGAAGAGGAATGATAAGATAAGAAGGCAGAATTGGCAGAGTTATGTAGAACCACCTTGTAGGGGACACACATTGAGTGTGGGTATTTGCACAGCTAAAGAATGTGCCCATTAGAAAGGGCCGCCCAGCTTGTTGTAGACTTAGGGATCTAAAGCTGATTAAGAGGTAGTTTCTGCCTTCAAGAGGCCTCAGGTCTGCAGGGATAAGTAGTAAGTCAGAAATTCAGGTGGAGTAGGATAAACACTGCAGTCAAGGCAGAAAGCACTGTGTATACACAGAGGAGGTGAGCAGGCAGCGCCCAAAAAGATGGGATGTGTCTCCTGGATTTGGGAGGAAGAAAAAGTATTAGAGGACAAAGGGGGAAAGAATTCTAGGCAGAGAGAACAGCCTGCACAGAGAGGACCAGAGACATGGGCGGCCTGGCGCATCTCTGCAGGCTACAAGTGGCTCAGGGTGGCTGCAGGAGGGAGGATTTGAAGAAGGGGGAGAGGGGAGGGACAGGAGAGGCTGGCTGAACTAGGTCATGCAGGACCCAAGGGCAGAGGCTCAAATGGTGAGAAGTTTGCCTTTACCCTGAAAGCTCAGAGAGCCGCTGAAGGCTTAGACCAGGATGGAATGATGTAATTTGCATCTTGGAGGGCCTGATGCAGAGGTTCTACTGAATAGAGCAAAATGGGGGCCAGCCAGACCAGTCGGGAGCTGCCAGTGTGGCTGAGGAGACAGATGATAGCATCCTAGGCCAAGGCAATGGCAGCTGGAAGAGAGAAAGGGGGCTTCTATCTGAGGGGCTCCCGAAGATCATGTCTGAGTGCCTCATTCTCTAAATCTCAGGCCAACAGTGACAGATGAGGTTAGCATGGAGGGTGTACAGGAGTATATTATTTACTTCTGTTCATTTTTCCCCCCAGGCAAAGACTCATACTACTCTGAGAATAAAAATAATCTGTTTATAGAAAAATTGGGAAATATGTCAAATTTGAGTAGCTGGCTGGACAGCCAGAAGCCTAGCCCATTATGTGGAAACAAGCATCTTTTCCCAGTGTGGAAATTCCATCTACTTTTCCATGTATTTTTCATCACACTCAGAGATTCTCAATGGGGCTCAGGCAGGAGATAGAAAGCATTTTGCCCCCCAGGGGACCTCTGGCAAGGTCGGAAGGCATTTTTTAGTTTTAACACCCTGGATAGGGGGTGCTTTTGGGTTCTAGCAAGTAGAGACCAGGGATGCTGCTAAACATTCTACAATATACAGGACAGACCCTCCACGACAGAGAATTACCTACCTCAAAATAGTAATAGTGCTGAGCTTGAAAAACCCTGCCCTAGATAAGTAAATAAATGAGTGTACACTAAAACAACAAGCCTCAGGAAACCTCTCCCCTAGGCAGGGCAAAGGGACCCTTGAATCATCAGAGCCAAGTTGGAAAAAGAGTATGTGAGGGGAGGTACCTGAATCAGGAAGTGTTATAAGAGGTTGCAGCTCTACAAATGAGCCGAGGGCTTGAGGCTTCCTTCCTGGGAGAAAAGGACCTTTACAGGAGATCCACAGTGCATGAACCAAAGACGTCTATGACCCCCAGAGGGAAGCCCCAAGGTCAGAGGCTCCTGGAAGCACCCAGGTCCAGATATCAGCCCTGATAGCAACTGGCGAAAGGAGGTAGAAGGCATCCTGCTGGAATCACTCCCAAGGTGCGAGTGTATTCCCTGCTGAGCATTAAGGCCATGGTTGGCCCCTGTAACTGCCAGAGAAGGTGAATGGTCCCCCCAGGTGTGTTGGTGGGGGAAGTAAGCTAACCATTAGCAAACAATGGACCTGACCTGAAATACAGCTGACAAATGTGTCAAATGAGGAGGGAGAAAGGGGGCAGTGCTGTGCTGGCCCTCCAGGTGGGTGGGGCCTCTGTTCTTCCTCTCATCTTCTCAGGCTGCTATGGTCTGAACCTCGGTGCCGTCCACCCCAAATTCCTGTGGTGGAACCTGACCCCCAAAGTGAGGTCAGCTCTTTGGGAGGTGATCGGGTCACAAGGGCAGAGCCCTCACAAATGGGATTTGTGCCCTTTTATGAGGCTGGAGGGAGCTTATCTGCCCCCTTTTACCCTTCCATCACATGAGGACACATAGCAGGTGTCATCTGTGAGGAACAGGCCTGGACACCAGATCTGCGGGAGTCTTGGTCTTAGACTTCCCAGCCTCCAGTACTTTCAGCAATACATTCTGTTGGCTATAAATTACCCCTTCTAAGGTATTTTGTTATAGCACCCCGAATGGACTGACAGCTGCCATTTTGGGGCCTGGAAATTACTCAGGAATGGCAGGAGGCCCCGTGGAGGCAGGTCTGTGGTCAGCTGGGGACATCCTTTCTCATCCCAGCAGCCAGGGAAAAAGTCATTGTCACAAGGACTTACCCTCTCTGGGCGCCCTGACCCTGGACTGATCTCCACTGGGCTTCTTTACTGGGCCTACCAGAGCAAAGGCGCCATGGGGCAGAACCGGCACCACCATGGCTCTTGCACTTCTAGTTGGGTCATCAGTGCTCTCTGATACCCTTGTATCTGTTATCCTGGCTCAGCATAAACAATTAGAGGAGATGGAGGGGGAACAGAAGCCTATTTTGTCTAGGGTGGTCAGGGAAGGCATATAGACTGAGACCGGAAAGATGCAAAGAAACCAGCCATGTGGCGATCTGGGGGAAGAGCCTTCCAGGCAGAGGCAGCAGCGCAGCAGAGGTTCTGAGATGGAAAAGCGTGACTTTAGAAAGCCAGTGGGCTGGAGCAGGGAAAGGGAGCTTCGAGAGGAGGCTGGAGAGGCAGGGAGAGGCTGGATCACATAGGACCTTATGGGCCTGACTGGGACTCTGGATTTTACTGTAGGTGAGATGGGACCCCATTGGGGAGTTCACTCAGGCCTCTATGTGGAGACCAGACTGGAGGCTGAAGTCCAGTCCATATAAGAGATGGTGGCTGCTTGGGCCGGGGTGATAGCAGCAGCGGGAAAGGAGGGTTTGATGTGAGATGTGTTTTGGAAATGGATCAGATAGATGTTGCTGATGATTTGGATACAGGAGTTACGAGAAGTGAAGAATCAAGGAAGACCTTCTGCATTTCTGCATTAAGTAACTGGGTGGATCATGGACCACTAACTGAGAAAGGGAAAACTGGAGGAAGCGGGAGAGAAAAATCAAGAATTCAGTTTTAGATCAACATGGACTCCACTGTCAGCCCAGCAGGGGAGGCTGATGGGGAAACATATGTTGCAGGGAAAGGTGGTATGTGCGGGGGGACGGGAGACCTTACAGGATTCTCAGAAACCCTTGTCCAGTTGATCTTGCTTCTAATCTCGCCTCTCTACCTCCATCCTGTTTGCTTCCCAGAACACATTCTTAATTATGTCACTCTTCTGCTCAAGAGCCTCTGATGACTTCTCATTTCTTATCAGATGAAGTCCAAACACCATGGCCTCGCCTAGGGTCTCAACCAACATTTCCAGTTTGAGAACAAACGTTGAACCAGAAGGATAGCCTGTTGGCTGAGTACACACTGCCCTCTGGTGGCCAAATGCCCAATAGCTGCGTCTCCCTTAGGAGGGCACAGAACACTGCACACCGAGGCACGGGTAGGGCCAAAGCCCATCTCCAGGTCCTGCAGCAAGTTAACTCCCAAGCGATTTGCTTTTGGACAGTTGAGCCTGCAGTAGGGCCACGGCCTTCCCAGTTGCACCTCTGTGGACTGGAGGCTGCATACACCTTGGGAGCAGAGAGGACTGTGAGGAGAGCTTCCTCTCAGTCCCTGAGGCCAGCTAGCCAATCGTGGAAGAAGAGACAGAGGGTCTGAGAGGCCAGAGTGTTGCAAATGGCTTCTCACCTCCTGAATCTGTTCCTTCATCACCCTGATCTCATTTTCTCGAGGTTCTATTTGCTTCTTCAGCTCCTTTATTTTGTAGTCAAGCACAAACTTGAATTTCCCCAGTTCTTGATTTTTCTTTTTCAGATCATAAATTCGCTTCTCCTGGGGGTGAGAAGAGACAGAAGTGAGAGATACCGTAAGGCTTTGGTATACTGCAGCCCTTTAGGGCAAAGAGCACGAAGCCTGTGACTCTCCCGGTTGAAGAGGTCAACCAGGAGACTCCTCTCCTCTCTTCGTCAGTACAGAGGCTGGCACTCTCCCCACGGGGCTACAGCACAGACCCCTCAGCTTCTGTACCAGGACTCTCATGCATTCACTCACTCATTCATATTAGGTTGTGAACAATGGTATTTTCCAACGATGGCCCCCACAGCGTCTCCCACCCCACACTCCAGCTGTTCTCCAGCGTGACCTTGCTGCTTCTCCATCAGGAGGTGGAAGTAAATCCCCTTCCCTTGCATTTGCCTGGACTAGTGACTTGTTCATAACCCAAATAATGCAACAGAAGGGAGACTGTGTGGCTTCCAAGGCTAGGCCGAAAAAGGCCAAGCAGTTTTTACCTGGCTCTCTTGGGACACCTGCTCTGGGGGAGGCCATCTGCTATGTAAGAAGTCCAACTACACTGAGACATCCAGGCTGGTGGGCACATTAGGGACTCTGGTCAAAAGACCCAGCTGAGCCTAGCCTCCCAGACATCCCTGCCAAGGTGCCAGACATGTGACTGAAGAAGCCACATTGGATGTTGATCTTCCAGCCTCCAGCTGTTTTGAGTCACCCCCAGTAGTCCCAGCTGAGGCCCCAGACATCGGGGACAGAGATAAGCCACTCTGTGGTACCCTGTCCAGATTCCAGACCTGTGGAACCTGTGAGCAGAATAAAATAGTTGCTTTCAATCACTAAGTTTTTCCTTTTGAGACAGGGTCTGACTCTGTCACCCAGGCTGGAGTGCAGTGGCAAGATCTCGGCTCACTGCAAACTCTGTCTTCCAAGTTCATGCGATTCTCTTGCCTCAGCCTCCTGAGTAGCTGGGATTACAGGCATGTGCCACCACTCCCGGCTAATTTTTGTATTTTTAGTAGAGACAGCGTTTCACCATGTTGGCCAGGCTGATCTTGAACTCCTGACCTCAATGATCCACCTGCCTCTGCCTCCCAAAGTGTTGGGATTACAGGCGTGAGCCACCACGCCTGGCCTCAATCACTAAGTTTTAAGGTTAATTCGTTGCATGGTGATAGTAATCAGAACATAAATATATCCATCTCTCAAACATTTACTGAATGAAGATCTTTTGCCAAGTATTGGGTTTCCAAATATAAATACAGCACAGTCCCTTGCCCTTAAAAGAAAACACTAGCTGGGAAAGAAGATACAGAAGCAAATCTAAGCCTAAAACGTGACAAATGTTGTAAAAGAGGAAAGCACAGAAGGCAAAGTATATATTGAGGGTGCTGAGAATGACTGGCTTGAGAGCCAAGTGGTGGTTCATGGGGGAAGTGAGAGGTGAGGCTGGGGAAATAGAGGAGGGAGGTGAGGGTCTTCGTGTTGGGGGAAAGAATTCAGAATTTATCTCCTAGGCAATGGGCTGGCAAACTACAGCCTATGGGCCACATTTGGCCTGCCGTCTATTTCTGTAAAGCTTTATTGGAACACAGCCAAGTTCATTCATTAATGTTTTGTTTATGGGTGGTTTCACTCTACAGCAGCGGTGTTGATTCATGTTGATTCGTTGAGACAGACCACATTGCCTCCAAAGCCAAAAATATTTACTACCTAGACCTTTACAGAAAGAGCGTGCTGACCCCTGCTGTAGCAATGGGGAGCTGTAAGGGCTTTGAGCAGGAGAGTGGCGGCATTGCACCTGCACCCTGCCAGTCCATGGTGATGGAAGGTGGGAAATGAGGCCATTAGACTGCTTAGGAGGCTGTTGCCATTTTCTAGGTGAGGAGGCCTTCATCTCTTTCTTGTCAAAGCCCCCTTTGAGAATCTGAACAGAACTTTGGATCCTCCCTAAAAAATAAAATAAAATAAAAATAAAAAGCCCAGATTCATACACTGACACTCACATGCAGAAATGACATCTAGGCATGATCCCATGTCATCCTTACAAGACCCCTTGAGGTGGTGATCATCCCCATTTTATAGGTGAGAAAATGAAGGCTGAGAGAAGTTGCTCGAGGTGCAATGGCCAGTAAATGGAACCTGTGCCAGACCTAGTTCCCTAACACTGAAGCCCATGTTCTCAGCCCTTGGAGAATTCCTCCTGCCTTGGGCCATAGTGGCAGAGGCGATGGAAAGGAGGGCACGGAATCTGGATGTGCTCAGGAGGATGATACTACATGGTCTGCCCCACAGAATGTGATGTCTCTGTCATCTGAGTGTTTTGGAAGAAAGGCATCCCCAAAGTAGAAGCAGCCTCCTGGACAGGGTCAACCCCAGGAGAGTCCCACTGCGACACAGAGACCACGTGGGCAGTGTGGCAAGTGAGCTGCCCCCAGTCCATGGGGGAGCGCCTCCGAGGATGCCTGGAGCAGTGGAGTTAGCTGACTCAGGTTCTTCTCGCAGCCCGTCACCTGTTGAAGTGTGTGACCCCTGGGCGAGATACCCAGCCTCTTGGAGTTCAGCTTCCCGAACCATAACACTGGGTTCTCAGGCCCCCTGGGTTGTTGGCAGAACTGAATGCGATGTGTTGATAGCGATTAGCCCAGCGCCAAACACACAAGAGGCGCTTCATTGACCGCTGGTTCCCCCATCGAGTTAAAGAAATGCGTCCTGAGAAGCTAGAGACCCTCTCTCCCCTGAGCTTTGCCTTCCTTGCCTTGGCCCATCTGGCCATAGCTGAGGGAGGACAGAAGGAGAGCTGTCACCTTGTCCTGAATAGTCTCGTCTCTTTCCTGGATCTCTCGCTTGAGGCCTTGGATGTCCTTCTCCAGAGACTTAATAACTCCTTGCAGCTTCACCTGCTCTCCTTTTAGGGTCTCGATGTCATTGGTTCGTTCTTCAATCTCCTTCTGCAGGCTGCTGAACTAGAAAAGCGAACGGCAACAACAAAGACCACTAAAGTCAGAACTCATCTCCATTCCTCCCACTGCCTCAATGTAAGGGGTTCCCTACCACCGGCCAACTGTGATCTGAATCACCCCACCTTCTGTGGCCTGAAAACACTTAGCACTCAACATTTCTGGGATTTTAGGAATGAATATTTGGAGAATTTGGGACAGTTCAGGAATTTCCCAGGCCAAATGGATGATGTAGTATTTGTCCCATAACATCCAGGCCCATTCCCCTGTGAGAGGACTGACTGTCTTCACAAGAGGTTCCGGAGACCGGTGCGCCAAGTGGACCAGAGACTTCTGTGACCACACTCATCTTGAAAGGCTGGGATCCACCCTGCATCAAGGTCACAGAAAGTGGGCTCTAACTGATGAGCCATCTTAGCCATGACCAAGAAGGGAAGACTGATTGTCCCCTGGATTTACTAGTGTGCTTTCTAATAGGAAGAAACTCGAGCTTGCTTTGAACTTAGCTTCTCCAGGGCTAAATGTTTTGGGGAAACTGAGTTGAATCCTCCCTCACCCTCGATGGTGAGTGAACTAAAAACATCTTCCTCACTTCATAAACTAAGCATCCTACACCCCCGTTCCCTCTTCCACCCATAGTGCTGAACGGGAGCCGCCCACGACTCCCTGGACCAAGAGCCTGAGGATGCCCCCAGGCCAAGACTTCACCTACCTCATCCCCAGAAGACCTTATTTCCATTTCCATTTCCATCGGAGGGCTAGCTTGGAAAACACTGACTGAATCCTACTTGCCAATAAGTGAAAACTAGAAAGCCTCTATCTGCACACAGGGAACCCCAATATCCTGTGAAAAGGAGAGCAGGGAAGCCCGTGTGGCTGCCTTTCTGAGGGCGTGGTGGGGAGGGTCCGTCTGCGTGAGTGTGCACTGGCTCGTGCTCTTCTCCCGGCCTGCTTGCTGAAGATGGGGACAGGCAGGACCCTGGCCAGGCCCCCCAGGCTGGTCAGTCCACCCACCCCAGCTTTCTCTGCAACACCCTCGCCCACCCCAGGTCTCTGGGAGAACAGCCTGCTACCTTCTTCCTCATGATGCCTGTTTCTCCCTTGAGCCGCAAGTTTGATTCCTTTTCATCCCGAAGCTTTTTCTCATACTTGGTTTTGATATCTTGGATTTCTCGGTCTTCATCTTCTTCAATCTGCTTCTTGGTCTCTTCAAATTCCCGCAGCTGCTGCCTGACATCTTCCTGTGCCTGGCTCGGAGAGAGTGGGCGTGTGGTCAGGGGAGAAGGGACTCCCGCACCTTTGTGCCCACAGGGCTTGAGGTGAGATGAGCATGGGGACCTGTCCCAAGGAGTGGGAGGTGAGTGCCATTCCAGAAACGGAGACCACGGCCACAGGGCCCTTGACCTGTCCACCTTCTTCCCGTCTGTCCTCTCTTCCTGCCTCCCCTCTTTTCCTACCAAATCAGGCCTCATGCTCCACCACTTCAACCCCAACCTTTCCAACACCGCATCCCTGTTCTCCTTTGGTCTTGTTCACTGGAAACCCAGGCTTCCCATATTTTTCTCTCACAGAACTTGTGACAATCGTAATGTTATATTTATTTGCGATGTTATTTGGCTCTCTCTCCCATTAGATACAAGTTCCTTGGAGGTAGAAACCATGTCTGTCCCCGTGTACAACACATCCTGGCATACAGTGGCTATGCCATGGAGATCTGAGTGAATGGTGGCTTTTCTCTGGGAAAGGGAGGCACAGCATGGCTTCCTGTGAGTACCTCTTCCAGAAGGGTGGTTTTCTCCTGCAGTTTGGCCTCGTAAAACTCAGTCAGCTCCTCCAGGGCCTGGCTCTTGGTCTCATCATTATCCCGGAGCTGTTTTTCATACTCTTCCTGCATCCTCTGGGACTTGAGCTGCAGCTCCTGGTACTTCTCATATTCTAGAAGCAACTTTTGGTTGTTGCAACATTCTGGAGAGAAGCAAGGAAGGTATTTAAGATGGCAGAGCAGCACCCGCCTCAGGGACACCCAGGAGCCTTGGGCACTTTCCCATTCCTTCCAGCACCAGCTGGAGCAGCTGCCTCCAGAGCCAAGATTCAAATGCCTGCCTGGCTTCCTCACCGCCACCCCCTCATCCCGTCATCTCATCCAGTAGCCAAACTCCCTGCCTGCCTGCTCTGGGAAGAAAAGTTTCCAGGAAAGCACAGAGTGGTATCTGGGGACTCAGGGCCAAGAAGAATATCCTGAGTGTGAAAACTAGGTGTTAGGACCCCCACTTTATAGAAGAGTAAAGTGAGGCTCGGTAAGGTGAGGTGACTCCCTAGAGCACCTGGCAAGTACGTGGTGAGCCTGGGACCCAAGGCAAGACTGTCAGGTTCCAAACTTGAACTTTCCCATGTCTCCTACTTTCATGCAATAGGTGTTTAATGTGCTGAGTGAATGAGTAAAAACCACCGTGAGTTCCAGGGGATACACGTAGCCTGTTTTTAGACAGAACTGTATTCCCTGAGACTTCTGCCGTGTCTGGGGGACTCTCAAGTGTTTCCCCATGACCTAGCTCTTCCAACCCTAACCAGCGAGGCCTCTACTTGTGGGCTCACCCAGGTCTTGCAGTTCCCGGCTTTGCTTGTCTAGGAGGTCTTCTATGTGCTCACGGTGATAAACATCCTGCTTTTCTTTTTCTGTTCTTAAGACCTAAAACAGAGTCACATTTCCTCATTTACACACATCTGCTGAAAGCACTATGAGGGCAAGAACTGACTTTACAAGTTACACCCTTCTTCACTCACAAACATTTCTCAAGCCCTTATTTTGCACCAAGCACTGTTCTATGAAGCAACAACCACATTGTCACCTTTTATTTATGTTATATTCTGCTGGAAAAGCTCTATACTGTTCCTATTTCTATTCTTGCTACTAAATGGGTTTGTCAATGATGAGTTCAGTTTTGGACACGTGTCAAAAGGACTTCTGGATGAAAAAGTAGGGATTCATTTGAATCCTGTTGCCGGCACATTGCTGTCAATGAAATCCTTGGGTGTGTTCATGGGTAAAGCTTCTGAGCAAGTGTTTTCTTTAACTGAGCAGGAAAGCTTTCAGGCTTGGGGGGCGAGTTGGGGGTGGTGTGCCATCTTCAGGACCTAACTTTGCGCCTGGCTTATATACAGCACCAAATAACTGTTGGCTAAAAGAGTAAAATTATAAAATGAATTAATTAATACAATTAATAGCCAAGGTTTTTCTTTCTTTTTTTTAGCAAAACTTTATGACCCATAGACATTAAAGAAACAAATATCCCTCAAGCACATAATTGGGAATTTTTTTAGGGGGTGAGGGACAGGGCCTCACTCTGTCATCCAGGCTGGAGTGCAGTGGTGAGATCATGACTCACTGCAGCCTCCACCTCTCAGGCTCAAGCAATC